CGAGCAGACGCCCCCCCCCCCCCCGCCGGTCTCCCTCCCGGGGGGAAGGCCGCCCCGAGCTTGCATGGGGAATGGCGTTTCTCCGCTCGGGGGCGTACACGCACACCGGCGGCCGGTCGCGCACGACGGGGGCCTCCCTGCCTGCGTCATCCGCGGCGCGGCTCGCGCCCAGTGCCCCACCGCAGGGCTCCAGGTTGTGCGTCTGTCTATCTGTGCGTCTGTCTGTCTGTGTGTGTGTGTGTCGCGGGCCCCGGGCTCAGGCCGAGCCGGCCCTCGTGGGAGGTGGTGGTGCCCGGCGTAGGCCCTCGGCGCGCTCTTCGGGCCTGCGCGGGGCGTGCCCTCTCGCCGCACACAGCCGGGCGTGTCTGGATAACAAGCATCACCATGCTGACCGATGTTTTGGTTTCCGCCGGGCCTGGTGCCCCCCGGCCCCCCCCCCCCGGTCCGGGCCCCCGACGCGCCCGGCGGGGAAGCCGCCCCGCCCGCCGGCAACCATACACATGGACACAGCGGGGGCGCGTGGGCACGGCGCGGCGGCGGCGGCGGCGCCGCCGCCGCCGCAGGGGCAGCCCGGCCGAGCAGCGCACCCGCGCATTGCGCCCCCCATGTCGGGCCCAGGCCTGACGTTGCACGCAATCGGTCGGCCCGGACCGGGCGCGGAGGACCCGCACGGAGGGCAGGCCCGGCCCGGGTGCCGCACACAGGGCGGCCGGCCGGCGCGCGGTGCGGTGTACGCCCGGCCCCGGGTGGGGGCGTGTGCGGCACCGGCACCGGCGCGGTCCTCTCCGTCACCCTGTGCGCCGGCCGCCCCGCCGGAGGACCCCGGGTGGTCTCCCTCGGGCCGCCGCACCGGGGCCGGGGGGGGGGGGGGGGGGCACATACCAGAGTCCCGGACCCAGGGCACCCAGCGGAGGAGGGCCTCGGCCGGGCGGTCAACGCCAAAAGGGCCATCGCCTTGGCGCGGGGCCCGGCGGAAGATCTGCAGGACCCCGGGATGTCGGGGCCCGTTGGGCGCCGCCGCATTGGGGATCAGCGTTCGGACCGAAGCGACTACGCCATACTCCGAGATGGGGGGCGCCATGGTGGAGGAGGGGGAGGGGGAG